CCATTTCTGGAAACCATAGAGACCTTGATGGTATAATCCTAAAGCATTTACAAAGTTAGTTGACTTTAACGTTAACATTGAAATAAATACTTCTTCATGAATAATTTTAACACAAATTTCTTAAAACTGTCTAAAATAAACCAAATAGAGTTGAAATAAGACATAAGTCTTTAAAATGTAAATATAAGGGTTGTTCAATTATGTTACAAATATGCAAAACAATAAAAATTAATGTCTCATATAACTTACTCCACTAAATGTACATTGGTCTTCAAGAATTAATGCCAAATTATAAAATTCCTTTATAATATTCATAAGACACTTGCTTTGTCATTTTATTCTATACCATTGAAAGAGGTAAATAGCCTCATTATAGTTATTCTCAAAAACACAAATCTTACATGGAAATTTCTCTTTAGAAATATATTCAGGTTAAAGTATGAAGAAATTACCAAAGAAGAATAATGCTAATTTTCAAGTTATGTCTTGAAATTTAAACACATCTTTTATACAGAAAAACATTTACTATTATCATTCTAACGGACACTCATTGTTTAAAGTAAAAATTCTGTACCAGTAACCATTTCATTTTATAAAGCAAAGTTAATCTTCTATTTTGTTCCAGTAATATGAAAACATCATTATGCAAATCAATTCATTAAAACAAAACTTAAACCACAATTTCCTATTTCAGTGTATGTTGACATTATGCATATAAAAAAGCAAGGAGAGAAGTTTTATTAAAATATGTTAAAATGCAAAATAAGAAAAGAGCTTTACACTTATAGGCAACATTCTCCTGCTCCCTTCCACAGTGCTATCTAGGCAGGTTTAAGGCCTTGTCTATACTGCTTAGCAATTCTCTCACATAAACCTGAAATTGTATCCATATCTCTTTGGCCAAGAATACATTCATGCAATTGTCTTTGTAGCAAGAAGCTCCAGTATTTCCAAGACTTTTATGATGTTTTTCTTCAATCCTAATACTTTCTTCAAATATAAGAAAAATTTATATTTTTATAAAATATAAGGGGGTGAAAAGTTGGAGACAAAATTAATCTTTTTAAATACCATCATTTCTATAACTTTTGATAAAGATTTTGAAAAGCTAAGATAAATACATTGAAAGTTAGATGCATGTATGAAGGAAGGAAAAGTTTTTTCCTTTTTAAAAATACAGAATGTTCTATTTTCTTAATGTATTCCTCTGGGCCATCACAGTACCTTTTCCTAAGGGCCATGCTAATTTCTATGGGCAAAATAATAACACAAAAATGTAAAGGGGGATGAAAAATTTTCTAAATCAATAAAGAAAATTTCTCTTTAATCTAATCTGAACCTTAAAATAAATGTTCCTGTCACATTAAGTTTACCACCTGATTTATGCTGAATCAACAGTGACATGTTGACTGTATTATTCCTATGACTGGTGAGGAAAAAAATTAAAAGAGAAATTATGATAATCTAATTTAAAAAACAAAAATCTCCTAGTATGAATCCTTATAATCATTTCATAAAACATTTATTAAGGACCAGCTAATACAGGTTGTAAAGATGAAAAATAGCTTAAGAGAAATTCTCTAAGTTTAAAGATTTGACTCATATGGAATTTATAAAACATTAAAAACTTATCATACTAAAAGAATGCATAGGTATATAAATGGACTAACTACAAGCTTATAATTATACAAAGGGAAGAAGGAAGACCTGCCAATGTAATTAAGAAGGGATATATCTCAGAGGGACAGCAGATTAGGTAAGATTAAAGGGTGGGTATGATTTGATAGAAATAGAGGACATTCCAGGAAAGGAAGCAGCAAAATAAAGCGTATATTCAGGGGACAAGGAATGGTACAAATGGGCCAACATTGAGTTTCTCTGCAAAGCAGTAGAAGTATCAGATTGAAAAAGAAAATCATATTGGGCAGGAAATGGAGAGCCATTTAGGATTTCCAACCTAACTGGTAACTCAGATCTACATATGAATATTACAATTATAATCAAGGTATGCTTGACTATCAAGGTATAATCAGGAATATTCATCTAGTGGTCTAAAACATTCATCTATGAAGTCTAAAGCCTAGCATGCATTCAGTAAGCAATAGATAGCATCCATTGTTGTTGCTGTTATTGTTATTGGCGCAAACTTGTTTGGAGCTTACTCCAGTAAACTACATGTGAGGGGGTTACAGCCTCGTGATTTAGCAAAGTAGTAGTTGAAATGATCAGAAAACAGAGATTATAGTAAGAAAGGAAGCAGGATATGACACTTCAAAATACGCCACTTTGGGCTAGGGATTATTTTGAACTGAAGGCAATTAAGAAGTAGATACAAAAAAAGCTCTCTGCCCTCCTCCACCTGCTTAAAAGCAGGACATAAATTTACAAAGGTGTCCCTCTTCCCGTCTCTACCAGGAAGGACAAAGAATCCCTGAAGACAACTTTAGACCATTATCAATGGAGAAGGCACCTGCTGACTTAAATCTGCATGATATACCTTACTTTTGCTTACCTTGCTTTTCCTGGTCACCTCCAAATTACTGGCCTCCCCCAACACCTTTCTTTGTGTCTTTAGCTGAAGATGGTATGTAAGCTTGAGTTCTAAGCCACCTCTGAGAGTTATTCATTTTTCCCTGAGTATCTCCCCTGTATATAGTCATGTGCCACATAATAACGTTTTGGTCAATGATAGACCACATATATGATGGTGGTCCCATAAGGTTAGTACCATATAGCTCGGTGTGTAGCAGGCTATACCATCTAGGTTTGTGTAAGTACACTCTATGATGTTTGCACAACAACAAAATCACCTATCGACACATTTCTCTGAACATATCCCTGTCATTAAGCAACTCGTGACTCTACGCGAGGTATACATGTTAATGAACTTGTTTGTTTTTCTCCTGTCATTCTGTCCTTCATTATAGGAGTCCCTGCCAAAAACTCAGTAGAGTGAAAGTTATTTTTTCTTCCCCTACGGAAGTTAACACATGTCATAAGAATGCTGATTAATTTTTTATATACTTTAACAAATCACAAACAATGATAAAAAGCAATGCTTAATGTTTTTTTACTTAAAGAATATTCTTTTAGAAGAATATTAAAAGGGAGTAATGAAAAATTTATGAGGTTTCCTAAATTTACACTTTTAAGTATCATTAGCACAATAGTGATCAGACTGTGCCAGGCCCTTCTCTATGTAATGGGAACATACCAGTGACAAAACCAGATAAAAAGCAATGCTGTCAGGCGCTTACGTCCTATGGTGGTCACAACAAAAGACAGACGAACAAAAATAATAACTCAAAATAAGTAAATTGTATAGCATGTTAAAAGATGATTAAGTGCTATGGAGAAAAAATAAAATAAGCAAGAGAAATCGTATGAGTACTGGGGCGAGGATGAGAGGGAAGGGCCACGCTTTTAAGTAGGGTGGTCAGGAAGCGTTGAGGGTAAGGGAACAATTTATCACTCAATAATTCCTTCTAATTATTTTTCTTTAAAATAATTTAATTTTGAATATTAACAACATTCAAATTACTCCTCTCTCTTAATGACAGATTTCAAAAACATACACACATAGCAAAATCCACGTCTGAATTACTATGGCAGCTGATTATCCAAAGAGTCTAACTTTTACTCCACATCCTTGCCATCTACAGGAGAAATCTGAAAATGTTCATAAAACTTCATAATGTTCAAAATGTTCATAAAAATATGAGACCAAATTGATTATTATATAGTATCAATGACTGTTACCCTGATAATTTGCAACCAGTCCTTAAAACCTGATTGGGCACTCAGGGAACAAACAATGAATAAAGTGAACTATATTGCTATATTATAGCTCCACAAAGAAACTCCAAGAAAGTCACAAACAATGTAGGAAGAAGAAATAAATAGCTTGCTAGCTTTTTTTAATATTAAAGATATCTGAAGCACTGTAAGCAATGAAGAATAAATCTTAGAAGCTTACATTATATATTTAGATTTACAGAGAATTTATAACATTATTTTGTCATAAGATAATCTTATTCCATTCAGAACCACAATTTTAGAAATTAAGAATTTATTACTATTCTCGGTATGATAATGGTATGTGGTTATGATTTTTGAAGAAGACTTTATCTTTTAGAGATACCTACTGAAATACTCATGTATGAAATGAAATGATATTGAACACTTATTTCAAAAGAATCCAACAGCAGGTAAAGAGAACTGAATGGGAGAATAGAAGAAACAAGACTTGTTATGAGCCAGTAACTCATTAGGTTTGGTGATGGGTACATGGGGGGTGTCACTACATTATTCTCTCAAAAATCTGTATTTTTTTCAAAAGAACATTAGAGAAAAAAGTCACATTTTTAAACAGTTGTTAATCTTCATCAATCTAATACTAAGCATCAAAGTCAGTATTTTGCCAAGTTGATCTATTACAACACTTCCCACCCACCAAAAAGAAAGGGAAGGGAACATAATAAGTTATGTAAATTCCGAAGCAGTTACTAATGTGAACTTTGCTACTGATTTAACTACATATCAATTTCAGTTTTAATTTTGCAGCAAACAGTCCTAGCATTCTAGTACACGACTGCCGGGGTTCTTAATGATGTTTTAATTAAGCTCTTCTGAACTAAATTAAATTTACCATTGATGGGATACTGGCTACAAACTGTTCCTATTTCTTCTTGTGGCATTACATACTACTGCCATAGCAGTGTACAAAGTTGAAAAAATACTTTATGCATGTGTATTTGATATAGGTATACTGACTGATAATTTTAATCAAACTAAAGCAGTCCTCACCCTAAAAAAAAATTAATATGTTGTATATATGTGCACGTATGTATGTATATGGCAGAGGCAGTAAATGAGAAGAGAAAGAACATATATTTAGATTTACAAATAGAAGACTTTCTTATTAAATACTAAACATAATTTTAATTCCCATATAAACAGGATTAAAGTTCAGAATATTGATGCTTAGAACATGCACTTACCACTTGTCCATTGTGCGGGTTCTTATGAGCATATGGAGGTCCACGGATATGATTCCACATCTGGCCAGAAGTCATAGCAAAGACTATACACTGAAAAGTGGTACAATGTTATAATATGTAAGCCAAAGAATACCAGAATACTGCATTTAAAAAAAATAGTCATGAAACTACCTTTTAAAAATCATATTGGCTCAAACTGTAAAATAATTTTCACTTATTAACTACAGGACCTTGGGTAAGTTATTTATTCTTCCTGCTTCTCATATTTGGTATCCATAAAGTGGGGATATCAACTATGCTGAAGAGATACATTAATGATTAAACTAGATAACATATGTAAAGCATCTGGCATGGTGACAGGCAATCTGCCATGTCCTTACCAGAGCCAGTCAAAAGCACTGATGAAACACGATGTTTTAGACATATAGCCAGGACTAACTCACAGAGATTATATGCCTGCTAGATCTAGCAGCAAAGGCTGTATTTGGAAACCTAATTTTGAAGATCCAAGACATTAGAGGGAGGGTGGGAGAGAGAGTATGAACCAGAAGTCACAGTCAATCACTATAACTTACGTGCAAGCATTCTTTGTTTAAATCATAAAATATGTTTAAATTTAGAAGCTTGAATATCTTTAGACTGAAATGTGTTCTTCAGGTTAAAACAGTCCCCAGCAGTTCCAACCGTCCCATAACTTGCCCAACTCACACTTTACTAAAGCTGCCTGGCCCTGGTAGGTATTTATACCAAAAAGATTCAAGGTCAGAATGAGCAATGCATGATTGAGGGTCTAAACAATCTAGATTTGCACAATTTTTAAAGGAGAAAAGTAGGAGGGGGCAAATTACAGAGGATCTTTAAACTCAGAGAATAAATTTGGATTCTGTTCTATAACTTTGGGGGAGCCAAGGTATTTCAAAAGAAAATGAAAATTTTTTTATAGGATTTACAGGATTATAGAGGTTAATCTGAATCCGTTTCCCACTGTCTTGAGAATAACTCTGAAATTAACTCAGACTTCTTAAAAGCTAGTTTTGACTTGTACAGACTTAGCCACGGTTGAGATATTTTCTGAAAGTCAGAATTTTACCAAATATTTGCACTTTAAACTTAGAAGATACACTAGAATATCAGGCCCAGAGTCAGCACAGAGAATTATGTACCATCTAAAAAAATAATTTAAAAATGTGAAATTGTTATGTGAGAAAAATAAATTGTATATCTAATTCACAGGAGTATCATGTCAGTGATTTAGAGAGTACATTAAACCTGATTATGTTGTAGACATAATATAAACAGTGTTTCAGGTACAGTATATTTTAAAATCCAGGAAAAGAGATATCTAGTGAATAAATACATTTACAGTATAAACAATGACCTTTTTGTTTTGAGTAGACACCCAATAATACCAGAGTTCTACTTTTTGGAACCTAACCCTTGTAATCACTAAATTGACACTGCCACTACTGTGTGTATTTCTTGTTTTGCTTTTACTTGTCTGCCCATTCCTTCTCTGCCTTTTACTCTTCCATTGATATTTCTATTTCCAACTACGATAGAAAAAATACATGATCTAGTTTGTATTCTAGAAACATGACAGTAGCCACAGTATGGAGAAAAGTAAAACTTGAATAGAAATCAGTTTGGAGGCTGATGCATAAATACACATGAAAGACTACAGTGGCTAATTCCATGGTAGTGATAAGAACTGAGAGAAGTAGACATATATGAGAAATACTGAAGAGGTGGAGTCAACTGACATTGGTGATTGATTGATGCAAAAGAAAATAGTCAAAATTACCCTCTGGGTTTCTGGGTTCCGATTTGAGCAACAGGTAGTCTGTGGTGCCACTCAGTGAGATACAGAGTAGGGCCAGAAGTATGTGAGGGTGAAAGGGAAGCAGGTCACAAAGATTTGGAGTTGAGTTTCAAATGGGTTGACTCTAATGTGCTTTCAAAACATCCATTTCAAAACATCTTTGGGTGGCGAGACTTCTATGAGACATTTGCATATATGATCTAATGACAGAGGTCTAGGGAAAAACCACAGATCTGGGAATTGTCCGCACATAGCTGGTTACTGAAGTCATGGGAACAGATGAAATTGCTCAAGCAGAGTAGATGGGGTGGGAAGACAAGAAAGCCTACAGGCCTAGGAAAGAACCCTGGGGAACACTTGTAGGCTGATTCATAACCAGAAGCCTGCAAAGGAACCTGGACACAGAAGTCAGAGAGGAAGAAAACAAAGAAAGTAGATACATTCTAATGGAAACCAAGGACAGAAATTTGAAAGGAAGGGTGTGGTGTTCAAAAACTGTCAAACGCTGGGGAAAGATCAAATATAAAACAACCTGAAGAGTCTCACTTTTTTTTTTTCTTTTGGCTATTCATTTGAGATACTAAAATACTTAACAGACTAAAATATTTAAAAAATAATAGTAGCCATCCAAAAACCTTCAACACTCTTAAGGTCTACCACTGGTATGTTTAAAGTACTCTGCCCAGGGGGCCAGCCCCATAGTGCAAGCGGTTAGGTGCGCGCGCTCCGCTGCTGCGGCCCGGGTTCGCCGGTTCGGATCCCGGGCGCGCACTGACGCACCGCTTGGCAAGCCATGCTGTGGCGGCGTCCCATATAAAGTGGAAGAAGATGGGCACGGATGTTAGCCCAGGGCCAGTCTTCCTCAGCAAAAAAAGAGGAAGATCGGCAGATGTTAGCACAGGGCTGATCTCCTCACCAAAAAAAAAAAAAGTACTCTGCCCAGCAGTATATCATAGTAGTTAAGAACAGAGGCTCTTAAATTAGAACACTGGCGTTTCAGGCCTGTCTTCAACACCTGTGCCACCTTGGAGAAGTTCATCATTTGGGGCCTCAGTTTCTTATCTATAATGGTAGGATAATATTGGCATCAACCCTTCTAAGCTATGGAAGTTTTAAGTCAGTCAGTCCATATAGCCCATTTTAAACCATGCATGATATACAATGTGAACTCAAATATTATTTATCATCATTCCAAAGCCCTCCACAATTTGGTCCCACACTCTGAAGTAGCATCATGCCCCACCATTCCTTAATTGGCACTGTATGTTCCATCCGGGTCGCTCTTCTTGCTACCCCCCAGATGCATGAGGCAATGCCTACATCTACATCTTGTTAATGCTACTCCTACTCAGTCAACCTCTCTATCCTATTCAAGGGTTAACTCATGGTCTATGTATGGTCTCCATGAAGCCCTTCCACTTTATTTTATTCATTTGACAGTTATTTCCTGAGTATACCAAGTATTTTAGACACTAGGGACATAATAGTGAATAAGATAAAGATGGCCCCTGCCCTCAGGTAGAAATCCTAAATAAGTGACATGCACCCCGCATTATAAAAAATAAGTGGGTATTTCTCATTCATTCATTTAACATTCATTTACTGAGAGCCTACTATATGCTCAAGAACTGTTTTAGAAGCTGGCAATAAAGCAATGAACAAAAACATGAGAGGGAAACAGTCTGTGGAGTTTACATTCTACAGGGAGGAAATAGACAATAAAAAATAAAAAATTAAACTATATGATAGACAATGATAAATGCTTTGAAGAAAAGTAAAAGCAGGGAAGGTGGAAAGGAAGTCATGGGACAGGGGATTGCAATATTCATTAGAACAGTCAGGAGGAGCCTCTCCAAGAACGTGGTATTTGAGCAGAAATCTGAAAGAGAGCAAGCCATGTAAGTATCTTGGAAAACAGTGTTCCAAGCAAAGCAAATAGCCAGTGAAACAGACTCTACTGAAGGAGAATGACTAGCATATTCTAGAAGGAGTAAAGAACCCAAGAGGACTAAAGGACAGTTAATGAGGAGAACAGAAATTGATAAGATAGGTGAAGTAAGCAGGGCCAGATCCCAGAGCCACATGGGTTGAAATTTTGAAAATTAACTGTAAGGTGGAAGCTAGGATACAGTTAAAAGGCTACTGCAATAAGTGGATTAAGAAATAATTAGATTTAAATAAAGGTAGAAGGTATGGTGAGAGATATTTGGAATCTGGACATATTTCGAAAAAGAGCCAACAGGATTTTCTGAAGAATTAGATGTGGGACGTGAGAGAAAAAAGTGGTAAAGGAAGACTACAAGGTTTCTGACCTGTACAACCAAAAAAATAAATTGGCTATTAACTAAGACGTCAAAGACTATGGGAGAACTAGGTTTGGGGACTGAGACCAGGAGTTTGTTTTGTACCTGTCCATTTTGAGACACCTGACAGACTTCCAGGTGGAGATGCGGTATGAGCAAGTTGGGGAAGATCTGGCCCCAAGATAAAATTTGGGAGTCGATAATGGTTAGACAGTCTTTAAAGCTTTAAAACTGGATGAAATCAGTAAGGAACCAAATGTAGATAAAGAAGAGAAGGTGACCAAGAACTGAACTCTCTGCCCACTCTGAAACAAGTGTAGTAGATAAAAATGAATAAGCAAATATGATTAAGAAGGAGCAGCCAGAGAAGTAAGGAAAATCGCAAGTGTGGCCTATCAGAAGACAAGAAAGTGATGCAGAATGAAGAGATCAGTTGTGTCAACACTGATAAGAGATCACTAATATGAAGATCTATAACTAAAAATTGAATTTAGTTCCCTGGAAAATATTTGTGCCCGACAAAAGCATTTTCAACGGGTCAAAAAGCCTTATGTGAAAAGAACGGAACGATATAGAAAACTGTTTCAAGGAGGTCTGCTATAAAGACGATCACTTAAATAGAATGACATCTAGAGGGAAAAATAGTTTTATAGCCTTTTAGGATAAATAAGGGGATGTTTGTATTGCTAATGAGAATGATTCAGTAACACAAGAAAAAATTATGATGACGCTGAAAAAGCGGAGAATTGTTCGAGCACTGTCACTGAATAAGATTTAGTAGGAAAGTAGGGGGTGTGTCTTAGACAAGAGTAGAAACAGTTCAAATCCTACAGCAGTACACAGACCCCCAAAGGGCCCATGCACAGCATGCAGTGGGGGAAGGAGGTCTGTGTACTTAAACAGGATAAAAACAAATCTTCATTTTCACTATCTTGTAAGTAAAATATATAATTTCCTTCAACTACAAA